CCCCCCCCACGCCGTCCGTTGAACTCTGCATCGCGTTGGTGTTGGTTATCGCCGGCGAGCAGGCGCCATCATCAGGTTGGCAACCTTGACATAACCGCGCGCTTTTCACTCCGCGGAATCGAAAGTTTGGTGCGCGCGCGGTGCATTCCTCCCCCCCTTTTCCTCTCGCTCTGCTCTGCTATCAGCCCGCGCGCTGCTACTGCACTTTCTTCGCGTTACGCTAGCCGGGGCGGGGCGGGGATAGTGGCGCCATTGCCCCCCAGAGCAGCTGCCAGTCATGGCTCCGCACCACCAGGATCAAGAGATCAACAGATCCTTTTACTCTCATTTTTTTTTCGATTTTTCCTCTTTTACTTTTATGCTTGTTTTGTGGTACGCGACTGTCCAAGTAGGCCTCTCTGACAACTTGTGTGTGTTCTGTGTGCTGTGTTATTTCCCGAGTCTAAGTACAGTAAGCATTGGTAAGCATGCACGGTGGGGCTACTACTATTCCTATCCTTCCTCGTCGCGGGGCGAGGCGAGGCGCGGCTGAGGACAGAGTCGCGAGGCTATACACTGACTTATTGACGAGGTGTCAGTGCACTGCGCGCGCTCACACACACGCGCGCGCGCGCGCTCACACAGGCCGCGCCGCGCGCGCCCGCGGCCAGGAGTCAACGAACTTTGCCCTTCCCGCCCCTTCGCGTATAAGTCGCTCGCTGCAGCTCTTCCTTCCTGCTGGCCTTGCTGCTGAGCTGCGCGTCGTCTCCCTCTCTCTCTCCCTCTCTCCCTCTCTCCCTCCTGCGTGGGGCGTCGGGCGGCGGCGGTGTGGTCAGTCTCGAGGGAGTGGAGGAGTGGAGTGGGGAGGAAGAGAGGCAAGTGGGAGAGACGGGACGGGGGTACGCGGGGTAGCGGAGGGAGGGGCAAGGGGGCTGAATGCTTACTTACTCACGCGATAGTGCACTTACGTACATGCACCGCCCCTTCCCCCAATAGCGTTCTGGTTCGGGCTCTCGACAGAGCAGACGGTAAAATTTGAAACTGCGACACGCGTCTCGCGGGGGCGAGTGACCTGGTCGCGGGCCGGAGACGCCGCGCTGGCCGATCCATCCACCTCCAGGACGCCGCCGTCGCTGCCCCGCCGGACAATACCATTGAGGCGTCACTATGGGATTGACGATAAAAGTACATCGGAATCGGACATGTGCCGGACTGCGACCAACTCATGCGGATCTGCCAATATAATGCCGAAGTGCAGCGCGTCCCGCCGGCCGGCCCGCCGCGGTGACACAATTAAACTCGTGTCGGATGCGCCACAGACGTCCGGCCGTCCGGTCGTCGGGGCGGGGCGGGGCGGGGCGAGCAGGGCCACCACGCCACGCCCGCACATCCTGCGGCTGCTGCGCCGAGCGGCCTTGGGGGAGTTATTGGACCTTTGACGCCGCCCTTGGCAGCGTCAAAGGGAGGCGCTGCCGAGGTGTGATGCCGTCCTGGCGAGGGATAGTAGTAGGGGCCAGAGGGGCCACACGAGGCCGGCCGGAGGCCCCTGCGGCCCCCGCATATACGGACTGTCCTTGGCGCGGCCCCGGCTTTACGGCCCCAGGTTGCCTGACAACAGTCGTCGTCCCCCGCGCCGCCGTGGGCCGCGGCCGCGGCCGTGGGCATCGTGGGCACTCTGTCAAGGTTCGCGCTCCTAGGCCGATGAACCTAGAGCTGGCCGCGCTGCTCCCCCCCCCCTTCCCCCGGGGGTTGAGTGTGTGGGGGGCCAGGCGCGCGGCGGGTAGAGTGGGGGGGTGGGGGGCACAGCCACCCCGCGCATGGCCCGACGGACTCCCACGCGCCTCTGCTGCCCGAGGCCCTTGTCCTGCCGCCATCCACCCGGCCAAGGACTGGTGCACCGTGCATAATGGCATGCACCCTCTCGTGTGTATGCACCCCGCCCGACGGCTGTCCTTGGCGTCCGACATCTCTTTCTCACACACATTCACACAATACAGCGCGCGCGCGCGCTGGGTCACAGTTTTGCTCCATTTTGTCCCAAAAGCTGTGATGAGGCGGTGGCGATAGCGACTGCCCGCCCGCCCTGCACCGCTCTCTGCCCGCGTCCACGCGGGGTCCTGGTGCACGCCCGCAGCAGGCCCGCGCGCCTCCCGTGTTCAAGGTTATCTTCGCACGTAAGCGGCGCGGACCTACTCGACAAAACGCCAAAATTATTGACATCTGGCGCGCGCTGGCTGGGTGTCGGACCTGGCGCGGCACCTGGCGCTGCCGGGGACTAGAGCCAGAGGCCGCAGACAGGCACCTGCAGATGGCCCGGCCCACCGCCCTATACTCTCGCACCTTGACTATTTTTGGCGATGTCCGTCTGTCTGTCCCCGCCCAGCTCCGCCTCGCAGACCCTCCTGGACCTGGACGGGTCGGGCAGGTGCGCCGTCAGGACCCGACTCCCCCACCGCCCCGATAATCCCAGACGGGTCGGCCGCCGGGCCGGGCGGGCTGCACAACCCTTGTCGCCCTTACCCCGTCTGCCAAAAAAGTTTGCCGTCTCTCTCTGTCTCATTTACTTTCACTCTCGTGGATCTCTGTCTCCCTCGCTCGCCCAGTCAGCAGCAGCCCCCTGGCGGTGCCTGCCTACCCTGGCCGCTCGGCTCCGCCCGGCGACGCCTCCCCCCACCCGCCGGGCCGGGCCCCGCGCTCCGCGCCGCCTCGCGCTGCGCTCGCCGCTCCCTCCCTGCTCCCACTCCCGCACTCTCTCCCTCACTTCGGTGTCGGTCGGACGTGCTGCCCGCTCCGCAGAGCCGCTCGCTCGCTCCCCATCGCGCTCACGCGTTACCGGTGTTACGTCCCCGCAGTGTCGCGCTCGCGCGCAAGTGATTCAGAGTGTGATCAGCTCTCAGTGAAAGTGATTCGCCGCAAGTGATTTGTGTGTGTTTGTGTGTGTGTGGTGCTCCCGTGTGCTGCATTGTGGATTACGACAGCATGCGGAGGTGTCAGTGAGGATTACCTTTACCAGAAGACGTTGAGTGCCGCCGCCATGGGCCTCTCCGACAACGACCGCATGTGCCCGTTCGAGGTGGTGCCGCACCCTGCGCCCGAGTCCACGTCGGGCACCCCCTACATGGACACTGCCGTCACGTCGCCTCCCCGGGACTCGGACCTGAAAATAGGTGACTTGCTTGTCTCTCTCTCTCCATGCCGTGCTGCTTGTCCTGCGCGAGCACCTCGTCGGACGAACCCCTCGGCGAGCACCTCACCGGTGGGGCCCGCGGACCTTGCACTTCCGCGTGCCTCATACAATGCTGCCGGTCGCGGTCGGCTCTGGTTGCGTGCGCCCACGACGCACACCCCGCCGCCACCACCGCCGCCCTCCGCGGATAGGTTTCGGGTGACGAATCGCAGCGCGCTCATGTCAGCAGACACCGGCCGCCCTCATCGCGCTAATGAAGCGTTTATGTCGTCATGAGCTGGTGGCCATAGCAGAATGGCGCCTCATGACTTGCCTGTCCCGAGAACCGTTGCCGCCGGCTATGGCCGTTTCCATCAGAGCGATGTCAAAAGTAGCTCGGCCGCGCCGACGACGCGCGGTGGCCGTGCGGTGCGTCGTCTTCCTGGGGACCTTGAACCTTTCGCCGTCCTGTGCTGATGAAAATGTCCTTCCTTCTCTCTCTTTCCCTCTCGCTCGCTCGCTCTCTCCCCCTTGCTCTCTCACACCCACACGCACACGCAGGGCTGCGCGCGCCGGCCACTGGCCTATGCCCAGCACCGGGCCCTGAGCGCGAGTCCTCTTCCTCATAGCCCTCCCGTCGTGTAAATTTCGTGGCAAGGTCGCACGAGGGCGCTCCGCCCGCTCCGCGCTCGGCCCACCCGAAAGCCACTTGGCGTGCGCCATGGGGCCCTCGCGCCGCGCTTCACATATTCGCGCCCTTGTGCGTGCGTGTGTGTGTGTGCTGAGAGGACAAAAGAGAGATGGAAACAAAATCAAAATGTTTCCACGGAGAGACTTATGAATTGCACCAGGTGGGTGAATCGCCCTGCCCGCATTCTTAGTAATTAGACCACCTCAGCCACGCCCACGCCTGCAGGCTCGTCTGCCTGTCGTCTCTGACCTTGGTGACTTGCTGCCCGAGCGAGTAGGCAACCGGCTCGCAGGCGTGGCAGGCGGTACAGTCTATGGGCGCGGGGCGAGTCAGTCACCTGGCACACCAGGAAGGTCGCTTCTTGTAACCAAGTACAGTGTCAAGCACTTGAGGATTCACCAAGGATGAAGGCAAATGCACTAAATTGAATACACAAGGGTGGCGCACAGGCGCACTGAAACAATAACATGCTTTTCAATAACAGGGGAGAGAGAGAGAGGGGGGGGGTCGGAGCGAGAGAGACGGCGCACGCATGGGCGTCTGCGTGGCCGCGGCGCGGCAACAGGTTGCAGGGCGGCCGTCCTCACTCTCTGGCCGGCGCGAGGACGCGCTCGATGACGCCGATGACACGGATGACAATGATTCGGTAACAGTCACGCGGCCGCCGCTGCCGGTGGTCAATGTCATCAGATTGCGCGCCCGCCGGGCCGGGGCTTTAGGGCGCGCGGCCGCGACCGCGGCGGGCCGGTAGGAACGCTCAGGAGGGGCCGGGCCGGCGGATAAACAAGCCTCTTGATAGGCGGCGAGGGCGTTGACCAGGCCGGGGTCCTTGAGGGCGCCAATGTCATACATCATGGGTGCTAATCTACCCCTCCCCCCTCCCCTCCCCCCTTGCAACAACCACAAGCCCACTTTGCCCGCCTTTCGAGTCGCGGCCCACTGTCGCGAACGGATATGGATGGGTTGGGACGCGACGGACGGGGCGTGGCAAAGGCGTCGATAGTGAGCTTGCGAAAAGGAAGGCGGTCGCCCATCGGGTCCCATGAGTTTGGGCGCCCCCATGGTGCGGCAGCTGCTGTGGGGCCCCCGGTGGTGTGCACCTGCTTATAGTTAGCTAGCTTAATTTGACCTTGTCACGAGCTCCATGTGGGCCCACTCACACACATGCAGCACGTACGTTTTCTGCGCCACGAGCGTGTGAGAGCAAGGTCGGTCAATAAGAGCGACAGGATCAGTGTCACGGGTTCAAACACAGCGCGGCCGAAGAGCACCCGCGTCCCAAGAGGGGGTTGAGGGTTTTTTTCGGCCTTAATTTTTTTTTCTTCTTCTTCTTGGCGGATCTCAATTGGGAGTGTGCGGCCGTCACTTGGCACATGGCCGTCGCGGCGCGTCGGGCAGGGCAACGTCCTGGGGCTCCGACACGGTGCTCTTGGCCTTGACGCCGACGGAGCGCGCGTGGGCCGCGCCCGTCTGCTCTCGTAAGCTTTTTAATAATTTTATTCTCCGATTACTCATGCAGGATCGTCGTGTGTGTGTGTTGCAGAGTTCGACGGAACCACCGTCCTGTGCAGAGTCTGCGGCGACAAGGCCTCCGGCTTCCACTACGGCGTCCACTCCTGCGAGGGGTGCAAGGTGAGTGACCCGCGTCCTTGAGCGCCCTGAGAATCACAGTGTCAGTGTGTGCGTGTGTGTGAGAGTGTTTGTGTCTGTGTGTGCGTGTGGGAAAGAAGACTAAACGTGAGGCGCAGCGGCTGCCTGCGGGTGGTGAGGGCCTTGCACCCGACCTACCCACCACCCGGGGGGCCGCAGTGGGGTCGCTGCTCCCATTGTAGGGGGTGGGAAGACAGACCGAGACAGACGGACGAACGGACAGACGCTCTCGTTCCCCAGGGCTGCTCTCCCCCATGCTCGCTTTTGGTTTCATTCAGGGGAGGAAGTACTATATGTAGTAGAGCGAAAGACTGGGTATGAATTCGTTTCTTTTGTGGGCGCTCGACCTCCATAACTTCGAATAGGGTTAACCAACACGCGACCGCTTTCGCATGTAACATTGCAAACTTTTGGAGGTAATGTAATTTTCCGTGGCGTGCTTACAGCTCGGTCACGACCCTGCCCCAGCGGGTCGTGTACGGCCGCTCGTATGTGTGACTGTGTGTGTGTGTGTGTTTGTGTTTGTTTGCGAGTTTGTGTGTGTGTGAGAGAGAGGAAGCGAGAGAGAGAGGTGGAGGGGGGGGGGGGGTCATCGTGTCATAATAATGGTCCTGGTCGGGTCCAGGCCGCGGCCGCTGTTACCACCGCCGCCGCCGCATTTCTCCGCTCAGCTCGGAAGAAAGTCCCCGCCCCGCCGCTCCACGCCGCGGGGTGAAAGTGATGAGGTGGGGCCGGGGCCGGGCCGGGGCCGCCAGCTGATGTCAGCTCAGCCACCCCAACAACTGTTGTGTGTGTTTTGGACGGGGTCGTCCCGGACGGTGTTGGGGGGGGAGCAGCACAGCAGCAGGTCCCCGTCGAGCACCCCATTTGGATCACCGCCAGCCACATATGCTCTCGTTTCATAAAAAGAAAAGGGGAACAAAGTTTTTCTCAGTATTTTTTCTGTGAGTGTTTTCATCCACGGCCAACCCTTTTTGCCGTGCGTGAGTTTGTGGTGGTGGTGCTGGTGGTGGTGGTGCTGGTGCTGGTGGTGTTATTTCTGGTGCCGTCTCTGGTCGCCTTTTTCACTTAGCCGGAATCATGGGGTTCAAGGTCTCTTGGCGTGGCGCCCGTCGCCGTCATCGCGGCCCTCGCGGGACTGACGTCCAGCAGCAGCAGTGTTTCGGCCTCTGGTCCGATTCACCGCGGGGCCTGCCTCGTCTCCTCCGCACTATACTAATATACAACCGGCAGAAGTTGCCACGTGTCGGAGCGCAGGAGACGCTGGCGGTGTCAGCGACCTGCTTGGCCTCGAGCGCGGTCGCGGGCGTGAGCAGCGTGAGCGGGCCTGAGCGCGGCGCGGGGCCGGTAACCGCGTCCAGGGACGGGGCCCGCTCCGGCCGCGCGGCCGGCCGGACGCTTCCGCGACTGTGCTCCACGTCACGTCCATAGCTCTGCTGAGGTCCTCCCTCATTATTACAGATTTGGCGAGACAATCGAGTTGTTTACTTCAAAGGCAGAAACTGGTCTTGTTGTGGTTCCCTCGTGGAGATTATCACTTTGCCGGGGTTGTGTGACAAGTGTACCGTACTGGCCCGTGACGTTCGTTGGCTGTTGGAGCTCCTTTCCGCGGCGGCGGTGGCTGGCTACACCGGTTCTGCGTGACATTCAGCACAGCACACGGACTCTGCGCCCTTTCTGTCCCTCGTTTGTTTCCTGCCGTCCGTCCGAAAGACCCAGACTGGCTACGTAATCCGGCGATAGGATAGGGCGTAAGTGAGCGGTCGGGTTATCGGGGACCTCTCAGGCGCAGATAACCTTGCCCCGGGCCCCGGGCGGGTGCCTCTTCTTGGGCGAGTGAGAAAGACAGTGGGCGAGTGTGTATGTGGGGACGGCCCGGCTTGACGCGAGCTCTATTTTAATTTAGGCCCTACGAGTCAGTCAGTCAGTCAGTCAATAAGGCAGGCAGGCTGGCTGGCTGACTGGCTGGCCGGCTGTTGCCTGCGGATGGCGGGCCCCGCTCTTGGCTGGCTGCCCTGGCTGGCCGCCGGCCCCCCCTCCACGACGCCACGCGGCCCGGCGAGCGAGGAACCGCGCAGCAGGCAGGCAGGCTGGCAGGCAGTGGTGTAGCACAAGTTGAAGGTCGGTCGGCGCGGAGTCAACGCCCGCCGGAAGACGGGGGAGGGGGCAGGAGGAGAAGGAGGGGGGGGG